CTGGTTGTCCGACAAATGTTATGATGTAAACTATTGAATTTGATAATCTTCGGAAAGTGAACAAATTTTACTACCCAATGCCGATTTTGACTCTGATAATCGATTTATTTGGGGCTTAAAATGCTCATAAGTAACTTTTTTGACAATAATATCGTATAGTATGGTTCTCAGATGAAACATCAGTTTCGTTGACTAGTAAGACGTACCTTTCTAGGCAAGGAGATACAACACTGAAGTATTGGATAATATCCGCAATGTTATCTTTTTTATACATTTAAAACACAAATTATTTTAATTGTGAAAATATTAAAATGACTGCAACTAAGTTGCAAAAGTGATTTCTGCTAAATATCAATGTTAACTCAGCTGTAAAACTGAGCTAAAAATCAGCCTATCAATCATATAAACACCTAATTAAAGGCTTTATCGGGTAGTACAAAGCGAACACAAAATCCAGACTTCGAATAACCAACACGTCGGTAAATCATTCCAATCAAATAAAAATAATATCAGGTACCATTTGACACATTCATACTAATATTTTTAAATATATTTGGAATATAACATCTAACTAAGCACCAGAACACGTCTTCAAACTATGTAGTTTGTACCTTGACAACCATACCAGTATAATCTGTGATGGCTTGTAATTGGGTCACTAAAATCGTAGATTAATCTAATAACTGAGATACTAAAATAGTATCAAAGTCATAGTCAGACAAATATTGCATGTTGTCAATCTTTCTAGTAAATTTGTACCTAATAAGCAATTCTTAAGCCTTACTACCACTAAGATGAACCAAATCACTTTGAAGCATAGTTTAGTTATGACGGGGTAGTTAATTAATTGTACTAATCTACCTACAGAGTATAAAATGAACCAATTAAAAATTAACTAGATAAAGTTTGGTAAGATCAATCTACATGGTAATTTTCGCTAGTTAACCTTTGCTCATGTATATGTTGATTGCAATAAACTTAATCAGAGTGTAGCTTAAGATGTTAGGTGTGAGATTGGTTTGTTTTATTCAGTCACTATGATCTTAATGTTAATATGTGTGCTTAATTTAGAATTTCAAATGTTTATCACAATTAGACAAAATCTCAATTAGCTTCTTCCGTGGATGATTACCAAGAAGCTAGATTACTTTCTATAAGCTTCGAGTTTTATGTGAAATAAATTGAAAATTTTCATTATCTATTTCACAAAAACATTGGTGTAGATCATTTGTAGAGTTTGCGAAAACTTTAATTTCTATCTCAAGAGCTATAGTTCTCGAAAAAAGATTTATTACAGGGATGATAAAACATATACACATTTCCTTTGATGTTTGTTTTGTATATCCTAACTGTTCACTTTCATATCTTTAAAAAGGTCTACAGATAATTCGATTGAGCAGATTTTTAAACCTAAATTTTCAATATAGAGTGAATTTAGAACAAAATATCCCGGATACCTAAATGATGACCATAAGTAGAATAAAAAAACAATCTCAACAATTTCAGAATGTCCTAAAGTGATGTAGCGGATCAATTAAAGAAATATTGATTACTAAGACTACCATATAATTGATATTGATTACTAACTTACTTACTTACTTACGCATGTTTCTACTGATGGAGTATAGGCCGCCGACCAGCATTCTACAACCCACTCTTTCCTGGGCCTTCCTTAATAGTTCTATTCAATTTTTGTTCATTCTTCACATGTCTGTCTCCATTTCTCGGAGTAATGTGTTCTTTGGTCTTCCTCTTCTCCTTTCGTCTTCAGGACTCCATGTGAGGGCTTGTCTTGTGTCGCAGTTGGGTGATTTCCTCAATGTGTGTCCTATCCACTTCCAAAGCTTCTTCCTGATTTCTTCCTCCGCTGGAATGTGGTTTGTTCTCTCCCGCAGTAGGTTTTTGTTGGTATTGTCTGGTCAACGAATCCGAAGTATCTTGCGTAGACAACTGTTAATAAACACTTGTATCTTCTGGATGATGGTTTCCGTAGTTCTCCACGTCTCCGCCTCATATAGTAGAACTGTCTTGATATTTGTTATGAAAATTCTGATCTTGGTGTTGGTTGATTATTACTAGCTTGATTAAGTGGAAAAATAATCATGTAATTTGTAGAACAATACATATCATGCCATTTTCAGAGCATCCAAATATTTGTTTAATAGATTTCTTTTACATTAAATTTATTCTTCACTGATCAACAATTTAAAAGTATGAGACAGAAGAAATTTTCTTTGATTAGATATGCAGTAACAATTTGTTATAAAAAAGAAATAAAAGGTCTAGACCTAAATTTGTACTGATTTGTTGTCATCAAGTAGCTTTATGCAAACTTCTAGTTACTTAAAAATCTTGAATGCCGTAATTGAAGAATCATCTAATGTGCATGCTCATGGCCAAACAATGAAACAAAATCAAAACCATCAAGTCTCTAAGTGAGTAAATTAATTTTAAATGAATGAGTTGAAACGGGAAGGTCGTAAAATTCTTACAGCAAATATTACTGAAGAGTATTGAACTGGAACGAAATGCAAATTTTTCAAATGATATATGTTCATAATGAAAATAATCTTGAAATTGAATATAATTACCGTAACTATCATAGTAAGTATCTAAAAATCAAACATTATGATTCATATTGATAATTAACAAATGAGAAAATGATAAAGATCAATGAAGTATCTAAATCTTAATTCATCATTGTACCGAATACTTATTAACACAGTAAAATCAAATGAGATATAATGCTTGAATGAATTCAATAACCTTCTTTATTAATCAATGTCTTATTTAAAATAGAATAAAGCACCATAATTCCCTTAATATAGGTCAACTTAAATAAATATTATATAAGAAGATTATCATGTCACATGTTGTTTGAATCAAATATTTGCGTAGAAATGATTTGTTATCTAATATGATGAATTTTTTGGATGAATAAGGTACTTTATATTTACTATGTATCATTTCTAAAAACATTTTCACATATGTACTTTTAGATATCAGTCATTGAAGTTAACTACAAAATTCAAAAAATATCTCCGTAATCTCTTTATAGTAATCAGAATAATATTTTTATGTGAAAGTTTAACTCTCACTGATCAAAATCATGTATAGGTTTGCTTAAATGAATATTTAGATGGTTTGAAAGTGAACTATGGGATGAATAGATATCGGTTGAAAGGCTACTGGAAATCAGGGATAGATGAGTAGTTGTGTAATCTTTGTTTAGAAATTCCCAGCAGTACACACTTAGACTATCACATAAGAGCATGTTTTCAAGTCTCCAATCTCGATATTATCTTAATAAGGTTTGGTTAGTAAGTGGTTATTCTATGGTCCTTTAAGTATTTTATTCAAAATAGTATAAACAATTTGTAGCTTTGGTGACATTGGATAGTGAATAATAGTAGAATCCAAAGCTTTTTCTCTTTATTTGGACCTCATCAACTAAAATCTATCTAAAACCTAGTGTTGGTTTTTACACTTAAATCCAGAACTTTTCACTTCAAAAGCTATGTGCGTTGCCCACTGAACGATTGAGTCCAGACAATTATGAGCTTATGATGTCCACTATCCAGCTTTTCCAAAAACTTATGACCAAATGACGAAATCGAGGCAATGTTTTTAGGATGCATGTATGGCAAAAGAGACTGTTTAATTGGAGTTCTCAACATCACTAATAGGGAAATACAAATCCTTACAAAAATAAAGATGCATAAATTTGAGTTATTAGAATGCACTAAGATATATTTTAATTGCAAGTCGAATGCTTTTTTTGTGATAAATCTGAAAAGTTAAAGAATGTTTGTTTAGTTATACATTATGTTCATCAGATAAATGATAAATTTCATCATTTGAATTTCGATCTGTTATTGACTGAGAATATTTTGGAAGTCGAAGATTTCTTAGCAGCTGGTTTACCTTAATTTGTAACATCTCAACACAAAATACCTATGACCTCAACACGTGGTAAGTAGTATTATTACCAAAGAGGTCATCACTAATGTATTCGTACCGAGACTAATCTTCAGAAGACCTGAGACGCTTAAACACAACAGTCATCAATATTAAATTGTATGGTCCATACTTTTGATTATGGTCTGTCGATCAAGTCTCAATGTTCCAAATACTCTAAATAAATAGAACTTTTGGTTACCATCTTGATTGATCAATTATTTAATTATAAACAAAATAAGACCTGACGTCGAAAGAGATCGCATTTCACATCCTCACAACAAGAGATAATTGATTATCTGAGAAGTAAATATGTTATACGAGACCCCATATTCTCGGTTAGTGAAACCTGTTGTCTAGCCTGTTGTTGAATATTGGATTTGTCAACATTTAGTTTAGTGTTCAATTTCATTTTAGCTCTATGCATCATCACTGGTTGCACGTATGTACAAAGATGAGACGAGAAAGGTAGGACTAATAACAGGCATTGAAGAAATATTAAGAGTGTAGGGGTTCTACGGTGAACAAGATAAATTCAAATTCTACTAAAGGTATGGGGATGAGTGACGTATCTTAGCTGCCAAACCTTAGATGACTTATTCTTCTTGAAAAGCATGAATGAAGTCTAGATTGGTATAAACGTCCTTTCCTACCTTAGAATGTGACAGTATAACTCATGACTGCTTGGAGCAAGTCAATGCATTTTTGTGAGTTGGTTTCATTATGTTAACTCCCTACTTTCCAAACCTTCCGTTCTTTTTTATTTGTATTGACAAAATACTTATGTGGTTCAGACAAATGTCGCATCGGATTGTCGATTTTGCCGAAACATCAAAGGTCATATTTATATCCAATGGAAATTTTATTCAATCAACCCATTTATGTAAGGAGTGACAAAATAACAGCTATTTCATTCGCTCAAAATTATTTTTCGTAATAAGTCATCCCAATGATTAAAATTCTGATTGGTTGATTTTATGTCAAGCGCTAATTCACTATCGTGTTGAATTTCCCTTTATAAACTGGATTTATGTCAACACCACTACTTTGATCTCGCAAGTTTAGCGTGAGGAATGGAGTGTAGTGGCTTGTCACACGCAACAAATCCGATCTTCTCATATTCCAATAATTTAGGAATCTGTTCAAATCAGATAGTAGCAAATCCATATAATTATTTAAAGATTGAGCCCAGTTTTCCCGAAGAAATGGGACGGACTCCAATGAAAGAAATGAATAATATAGAATCAAACATAGGAGTTGAGAATGCTGTTCAAAATTATGAATACAATATTCCTCCCCCATACACTAATTCATCATATTCAGGTAATTTTTCAAACTATGCAATCAAGAACGATTATCCCACTTGTTCATTACCTGGGTATACGTACTATTCTCAGAATGACGTGATAAACTATCCATGCATCTCACCTCATAATTACTCATATGAACACAACTATTTACCTGAACATTCAAATAATATCCATCATTCGTTCGGTTGTCATCAAACTTGTAACTGCCATTCATCATATTTACCTATCCGAAACCAAAGCAAAGTTTTCCCCATTAAAGTTGAACCTCCGGATAGTGATAATGAAAACAGTTGCTTTTCGATTAAAGATGAACAGGTAAAGAAAAAGTATGCGTGCACATTTCCCGGTAAGCTATCCTTCTATTATTTGTTATGGTTCTTGATTGGTAGTACGTATCATTAGTCCAAACAAACCACTGTATATGTTGTCACTGTTATTAGGTATTTTCAAGGAAGTAAATCTGATAACAAATGAGAACAACTAAGATGTGTAGTTTAAACTTAAGTGCTAAGCAATCATTTGTTAAGAACTCGGCTTACTGTTATTATTACACTATTTAGTATAGTGTAATTTGAAAAAAACAAACCCAACTATAACAACCAAGAACTTCAAATGGATTTTGCGGTTTTAGTATCCAGTCTTGATTGTTATTCGCTGATAATTTACTTAACTTGTAGGACAGTGTGATAATTAGGAATATTCAAATCAATGTACTAAGAATTGCCGAAATAGTGTAATTTAAGTTGGATATAACTAGATAAGTGCAAATGAACGTATTATATTTGTAATTCGTAATAAGCGCTCAATCTATTACAAAGGGATGATCGGTTGGCACAAACACCACAGAAATGCGTGGCCAGTATTTTAAAATATTACAACAGTCTAGTCGATGATTATGTCTATAAAAATGTTCATTTAAATGGCTTATCTCCGATCACTTATCATTTAAACCCATATCTCAATACATACTACACAAATGCCATCGTAAGTTCTCATAGTCTATTCGAGTACTTACTTGAGGATATATTACATCCCATATGCATTACATCGCTTTCCAATAAAACCGTAATAAGATACTGCATTATTTATCGTGTTGCATCCATTGAATGAATATGTCGACAGATTCATATACTTGAGTATCTTCATTGTACCGCATTGTTATATGTCAATTATTTGTGTAGACGTCAGTGAATGTCAGTAATAAACTGATTCCAAACTCTTTGTTATTCGTTTTACTACTGTATCTCGTCTCTATCAAGTAGGTCATACACGAAAGACTTTGTATGAGAGTAGGAAATGTAAATGTATGGGAAACACCATTTGACAATATTGTATTGAATTGCAGAAGATCCTGTATTTTGTCTGGGATTTTATTCTGAGAAGACGATATAACACCGATTAGCATTAGTCTTATTGCTATTTTACCATTAGAGATCAAGGAAAGACAAAAATATTCTTTACATAACTGTGGAACAAGTTATTCTAGCCTTACTCTTTTCACCAATAATGTTAGAAATATTAATTAGGATCATTGTCTTATGAACCTAAGAAATGCAATAGAATATATATATAGTCCTAATAAAGTTCTCACATTATTGATGAAAAGGGTTAGACTGGAATAACTTGTCCCAGGGTTATGTAAATGATGTCTGTCGTACATTTATCTCTAGTGGTCAAGTAGTCACTAGACTAGTGCTGATCGGGGTTATATCTTACTGTAAGCATCAAATCCTTAAAAAAGATTTTGATCTTATACGACTCAATATAATATCACGTAGTCACTCATAGAACTAGATTTTACAAATAACACCAACTGTTTAGTTTCAATTTTATGGTTCACAGGGCTATAGAGTGACGATGTTAAATTACAGTGAGGTCTGACTCGTTGTGAAGGTAGTCTAATGTAGTCACATAACCAAAACTCCAGGAAATCTTTATTTTCGGCCTTATATACTTGGTGAAATCAGATCAGTAAACCCAACAATAAGATCTAACAGTCTCTGTTAAGTCGTTTATCATTCCTTGTTCATCTAAACGGAACTTTCAGCCTACGTAAACTACCATCCATGGTTGATGAGTATCAAGCTGATGGGTTACATTTAAGTACATAGCTTCTGGTAACTATTGCAAATCTTTATGGTTATTAGACTGAATGCGATGTTTCTGTAATATTACTTAACCAAACTGCCTGAAATCACCTCACATTTATCCTTACAAAATACCCGGAAATGTATGTCACTGGACACAATCTTCCAAAAGACAGTTGGTCATCTAGTGTCTGCTAGTTGTTGCGCAGCTGGTCCTAGTGGTTTGCTTTTTCGATTGCATCAGATCGACCCATAGGATGACATAAATTTTGTTTTGATTCTATTTAAATTATTCAGATACGAGTATAATGATCCTCAATCCTAAACCGAAACAATCTGATAAGTATCCCGTGTTGATAAGTAGATGTGGACAACTGAAGAGTCTTGGGGTGGAGCGAAATAGTTAATTGTTATTTCTTATTTCAGTTATCTACACATTGTCAATCGGTTGTAAAAGTCATTCATAGATCGTATGTACAAATTAGGAACCGTATAAAAACCTCTCCCAAGATCTATCATCCCCACCTAGGAATTCTTGTAACTTAAGTACTACTTCTGATTGTTAGGATTGTTGTTAAATCTTGAATTCAGAATATTTTAGAGTACGGTACTTCGTTTCCAAAATGACATTGAACTGGTGTGTTACACTTAGTCTTGTAATTAGTAGTCCGCTAGTCATACTTAGTAGAATGACTTGTGTTATCTCTTTGCACACCAATAATCATGTAAAACTGCTAGGAATTAAGTTTTACGTAGTTTTTTAACATTTGAAAATGTGTTCCTAACTAGGATCTCCATGGGCGGCATTATTCAATACAACTCTAAGAAACTAGTTTGAATTCGTGTATGAACCTTCATTTAAGTACTAGATACTTATCTCTACGGTCTACTTAAGTAACTTTGTCGCCATTACTACCAGTAATCTTGAAGCATGAATTCATGGCTTATTCTTAGTTGTTTCCAAATATTTTAAGTGAGGTACGTGGGTTGTTAACCTCTAATTATGGCTAGAGGCGACAGGGAGTTTTTCTCAATAAAGTTTACAAAACAATCTCAACTCCGTTAGATAATTGGTCTGTACTACCGTAGTTTATGGGAAAAATAACTTCGGTTTCCATATTCTCAGTAATCGTGCATTTGTGAATTACTTTAGTTTGAATAACTAATTACAGAATTTGGTGTACGTATGTTTTTCAAATGCGATATTTAATTAACATTTGTTTCTTCAACTTTAATCGTTTCAGGTTGTGAGAAAAGGTATTTAAAGTCAAGTCATTTAAAGGCTCACTATCGAATTCATACTGGTAAGTAGGACATTTTTTTGTTGTGTACTTTAATTTCACGCATTAAGGAAAAATAACCGCCTATTGAATAGAAATTATTTGGATGATTAGTCATTGAAGCTTTTGGTACATATTCATATATTACACTATTTTAATGTTCTATGAACTACTTTGTTTTCTATGATCAAACAAGTAGGATTTAAGCATACGTATCCAGTAGCTAAGTTATTTTCTGATGGTTAGCTAGTTTATCGGCTACAAAACGTGTTTACATATCCATCAAGTTACAAACATGTCGGTGAAACTAGGGAAATTTATATCCCGTATGAGAGGAAAATGTAAACATTTATCATATTTATTAGGTTCAACTGGTAATCAAAACGATATAATTTTGAACCTTGTTTTAGATAAAGAGAAGTCCACAAGCTTGATGGTCAGTTTTTTCTACTGAATGTCAACTTTCGCTGTTCTTCGGTATTGATAGGTTGAAATGGAAAAAGTTGGGTGAATTCCGTACAAGAGGGGAAATAGAAATCGAGTAATCATTAGAATGATGTTAGGGTCATGAAAGTCATTCCTCTTTCCACTGTCATTAAAGTCAATTTAAGGGCTACGAAAATTCCCATCTAATTACTATATCGATTCGTGTAGTGCCATCAACCCAATAAAACTACTTATAAGTAGTCATTATATGTCAAATAACTAAATCGTGGCATGAATCTTATTTCTTAGCACAATTTTAACTGGTCTAGAAAAATGGTTCCTAATGTTATCAAAGTAATCTGTAAAAAGAACCATTTTCTACATGTTCAAATATATATTAACATAACAGTTTGGAGATTATTGATGAGTTTTGAGATGTTCAAACTCTAAATGTGAAATTGTTGCTTATGCTTTGGTTCCCGAATCTAACATATTTTGAGTAAATTCTTCGATTTATCTACTAAGTGTTTTATTTGCTTGAAGTATGCTGTTTATTTACCGCAAGTTTTAAGAATTCAAATTTAGTTGTTAATTAGAAAAAGGTGAACTGATTAATATTAAGTGCTTTTCATTTAAACTTTGGTAACATCTGAAGTTAGCACTTATAGATTGTCTTTACCTGAATTATCATTAAGAAAGCAAACAGAACTGAACAATTGTTCCTTGGCGGTCCAAAACTCAAGAACTAATAAGTGCTGTTAATGTACACTTTTAACAAGTACTAAAGTGGTATAAAATAACTGCCCAATGTTGCTTAGTTTTGAATAGTTCCCCAGCTAAAGTAAGTTAGTAAGTGAAACAAACTTTAAATTGAACAAACTTTACAAACACAATAACTTAAATAAAATGGTATTCATCAAAACTAAATAGTTTAGATAAAATTCATCTTTATATTGCACTATCTAAATTGACCAAAAGGACTAACTGGTTTAAATATGGTGCTTGTTTATTTTATTTTTCTAGGTGAACGTCCATTAGTTTGTGTATATCCTTATCCACGTAATATAACTGGTAAAATCCCGATTAATTCATTGACTATACCAATATGTGGTAAAACATTTGCACGTTCAGATGAATTAACGAGGCATTTGAGAAAGCATCTAAATTTACGACCATTCAAGTGCGATTTATGCTCAAAAACATTTAGTAGATCTGATCATTGCAAAACACATCAACGTACTCATTTAAATGGTCTCGATAAAACAATGACTCCATATTCCAATAATCATTCACTTACATTAAACCATACTAGTAATGGAAAAAATAACGATTATATTCATTCCACAACACATTTTATAGCATCAGCAGAAGTGGGTGTGAATCCTTCCATTAATCCTTTACCAATGTCATCGTCATCATCATATCTGCCATTTCCGATGAATACAGAATATTCACTATCATCATCATCATCATCATCATTAACATCAGATTCATTGTCTTTGGCTTCCTCTTCCGTACATTTCCCAATATAAACACTACAATAATAAGGTGTTAATTTCACGTTTTTTTTCAGTTAACTTAATTGACAATAAAGCACTTTTTTCGGGAAACAAAACCCGGTAATTATCATATCTTTCGTTATTTGAAATAGGCTAATATTTATTTTCAAAATTAAAAAGGTAAAACATTCTGTTTTTTTTTGTTCATTTAACAGATTCTTTTATTAACTTATGTATTACAGATTTCTACCTAGTTGGACATATTTTCTCTATCGAAATAACCTACACTATTTCTTTTTGAATAAAAGAGTTGTTATTATTTTTTGTATAATGTGTAAATAAAACATTTTCCAGATGATTTCACAGGTTTCATATTATAAAATTAATACAAGAAGGATATCATTGTAGTTTTGAAATTTCAAGGATGTCGATTTTATGAAGTGAGGTCACATTGTCCACTGTTTGACTGTTATGTTACGTCTACCTATCTCAACCCACTTGAATGTTGCAACTTTTGACTGGAAGTTAGGGAAATTCCTGTTCAATCAGGTTCAATCAAGTAATAAAACAACATACTGTTTAAAATTTGTCCTGATCCGTAAATTCTAACGGTAATTCCCACAGGTAAGATGAAAGTATTTCCAACTTCATAGATTTTAGGTTTTCTGGTTAAATTCTCATGCCCAAATTTATCTATCAACTTTTAAGTCGCGTCCTTAAGTGTTAAATATGGTCACGACATATAGTGTTGATTATGAATGTCTGGAAAATAGCTCCCATCCACCTTGGCATTTTAATTTGTGGACCTACAGAAGCGTCTAAACACGGGAGGAAAGTGGAATAAATACACTTAGTTGAAGAACTAGATGAGTTTGTATTTCACCATCTTTAAATGAAATAATCCGTGTTTAAATCATGTAGGCTGGTTGACTCATTATTGTGAGTCAGTAAACAATAAGATTCCCAAGTTGATAGAAAGAATTAACGCAGATTTGACATCACACTGCAAAATATACTAGATTCATCTGCTAACTGGTGGGTTATTCCTATGGTCACAAATGAAACTTGATATGGTACTATGGATTACTCAAACGCATTTGAGGTATCTTTCATGTCTGGATGATCAGTTTTACGAAGTGAAGAACGTAGTGACTAAAGTGGCCTACTGAGGTCTCTCATTGGACATATTTTTTGTATCATTTTGTAATAAACTTTAATCCGTTCCAGGTGGCACTTACTGTTTAGTTTATAGGGTATTATTACGCAATCAATATTTATAAATACAAACGAACATTTTCACTCCATTCACATGGAATGCATAATTTTATGTAAATATGTCAAGGGACAGGATTCCCCACCTATATTTGTGTACATAACGTATCCTAATGGTCTTTTATAAACATTTTATCCCCGATTCTTGTACTGTAAATAGTAATATATATTCGGAAACATCTGCTTAGATTTAAGACATGTTAAGCTAATAAGTCTGTAATTGAATACATAAACGTAACTGTTATATAATTAAACTATGTGGTAGGTATAATATATATGTACACGTGAATCATATTCACAGTTCGACCACACTGAAAGGTTCTTCAAGATACATTAGTGTATCATGTAAGTCGTTTTTAAAACAAATTAAGTTCTTGATTGGAAATTACTTAGTAAAGAATGTAACTTGCTAGTTTTCGCCATATAAAGATGTAGTTTTAACACTCGTAATCTTGAATGAAAATTACACTGTAATATCCAGCACTCATAGACAACATGAATGAGAAGGTGACTGATAATAATCGAGTACCGGACATTTAATCAACATTGAAAATGTTGCGGAAAACTTAAGCCGATTATGAAAAAGTTTCCATACCGTATTTAAAAAAAAAAATCATACAAGTATGTTAAATTAATTATGGACAGAGTATTATTGTCAATAAGCTTATTCGATCTGCCTAATGTGTTATACAGATAATAAATTTGACCAGCTGGTTAGACAACAATTTATTTGTTTATCTAAACTATGTAAATTACAAAGAGAGACATGAAGAATAAATAAACATAATTGAGATTTAAGACGACAATAATAAATTAAAGAATAAACATACGAAAACGTCTACACAGATGAGACATTCTGTAGGTAAAGTAAACAGTTATATAAATCCTTGAGAATATTTAGAATTACCACTATTCATTCAATCCAATATAGATAGATTTGCTGATAAATATTCCTCAATAGGTTGATGATAATAGGTGTAAATATATTTCCAGTTAAATGTGATAATGTAAAATAACTGATGTCTATTTCTTTAAAACTATACATTATATCCAAAAATTTTGTGTTGAAGTATAAATCAACACAAGAAGACTAGGCTGGTAATGAAGTAAGTTCATTTATGTATAAGAACTTTCGTCTAAACTAGAGCGAATAGTTTCACAGTATTTGGGCGCCGAGTTGATGCAAGACATTAAATAGGGATAATATATTTGTAAAAATCTCAGCGAATGAATTTGAAGTAAATCCAACGTTCCGCCTGGTGATCTGGTCCAAGCTTATTTCCTTGAAAAAGCTTGGACCAGATCAGATGATTTAGAACATATATAAGCGAACAATATTGTTTTCGATTAGATCTTCATTAGGCTTTGCTCTAATGTACAGTAATATTTATATGGATATACGAAATTATTAAACATATAAAGGAAGTTTATGAGTCTGGTAACAGTGAAATAGATAACATAAATAAACATAATAAGTGAAAAGCGCAAATTGGTAGTGTGATGACAGGTGTACTAGTTGTGATAAGAATAATAAAGGTTCGAATATAAATATTACGGTATATTAGAGTAAAGCCTGATGAGGATCTAATTGGAAACACTATTGCTCGCTTATATATGTTGTTCTGAATCCAGTTAGTCGATAGAAGGAGCACTATAATTAATATTGACTTCAAAATTATTTTTTAGGGCTTTTATCCCGTTGGTGATATTCGAGAGCGAAATTTGATCAATCTATTATGGGATATGGACTGTTTTAGTGGGTGCCTTGGTATGGATTCTCAGTTCCTAGTACCAGTATTGTTTCTGTCGTGTTTAATACAATAAGACCCAAAATACACATGTATTCGAGACTTGTTAGCTGAATACATACGCATCTTAGTATTGATGTTCACATTAAGACACGAACATAGTACTTATCGATCCCAACTACAACGCGTTTTTTTACTAGGCTGTTTTTATGAGTACCAACATTTTCAACTGATATTCCCATTATTATTCGAATCCTAAATAGAGAAAAGCTCCGTTCCACATCTAGACACAATACAAAATATGTTCTAGTGATGTCAAAGGATTTTTTTTCAGGAAGCAAACAATTAAGACTATCTAGCATTTTACTTTCTATATAAGGGTAGTTGAAGTCCTAACTTATAATACTATCAATAAATGGAGTCTGATAAACTACAGTATTTCATTTAGTTTGTTGGATGTTTATTTATCTTTTGGTTAGGTATTTGGTCATCAACTGAGCAAAGTAACCTTCTTGACCAAAAGTGTGCAATATGTAAGGTAAACAAAACGGAAAAGCAAATCCGAATCACAACTAAATTACATGAATATTTACTTTTAAATTTGGACAGAATATCACTCAATCTACACATAAATTTAATAATCTCAGTTCTAAAACCTACAACATCGATTTTAGTGCACAAACTGTTAATACTGATCAAGTGAATTACTATTCGAGATGTCACATGAACACAGTATTTCATATGCAAAGCATCTCAATCATTAAATGTCAACAAAGCTCAACACACCGACTACTGTAGTTACAATTCAAGGGCTTGTATAGCTTAATTGTTGAGCCGTACTCATAACTGGTTCTATACGTTAACTTCAGCTGCAAATACTATCTGCTAACTGTTTAGTAAAAATTTCTGTCAAAATAAGCATTAGTCACTTTGTGGTAGGCCTTTTTATATCGAGTCTATTAACAAGACAATCGTTATTCTATTAACCAAGTATTCACCATAGTGACCAATATAATTTGACTAAGGGATGAGAAATCGGCAAACATATATATATATATATATATATATATATATATATATATATATATATATATATATATTTGTATATGTTTATTTAAAGGAGAGATAGTACTTCAACAAAAAGCGGGATACATGAGTTCATCAGATCTTAAAACCTACTTATCTCACATCAATAACTCTTATTTGATTTCATATGATATAAACTGATGTGTATGCAATCCATGAATAATTTTTTCTGGTTAGCGTTTTTTTTAGCGAGTTGGTTTTCTTCGGGATGGGGTCGCTAACCCCATGCCCAACCCTCCTTCTTTCTCCGGGCTTGGGACTGGCAGTAGCCCCCGGAGGAGCTACAGGCGGAGACAACAAACCAGATTCCAGTGGAGGAAGAAATCAGGAAGAAGTGCTAGAAGTGGATTGGGCACACCTTGAAGAAATCACCTAATTGTGTCACAAGACAAGTCCTCACATGGAATCCTGAAGGTCAAAGGAGAAGAGGGAGATCAAAGAACACATTACGCCGAGAAATGGAGATAGACATGAGAAGAATGAACAAGAACTGGATAGAACTAGAAAGGAAGGTCCGGGACAGTGTGGGTTGGAGAATGCTGGTGTGCGGCCTGTGCTCCATTAGTAGTAACCGGCGTAAGTAAGTAAGTATGCAATCCATGTGAAAGTAAAAGGATGTGTGAAGATATTTTCAAAAATGTTTGACATGAAAGTTCCTGTCAATACTTTGAAAAATATTTTTCAAATGAAATATTGATTATTTTATTTCAGTTGACTAAATTTAGGGGGTTTGAAGAATTCATAACCCCAGATGAAATTATCGAGACAACTCTTTGGTAAGCTTAACTTAAAAGAATCTTATGTTATAATTATCCTGATTAGTTAACATAACCCATAATATCAGAAAAAGTGAGTTTTAAATATCCATGTTACTCAGTGTTATATTCCATTACGTAGTAATATTCACTAGCACATACCCATTGAAAGCGAAAAAAACAGAATAATTCTAGTTTTCAACTATGTATTCATTCTAGTGTTTGCTCCACAAGAATAAAAACTCCATTTAATTCAGATGCCGAGTACAGCTTTAGTGTATTTGTCTTTTAAGCCACCGTTTTTGAATATCAGGGGTAATAATACTATCAGACCTTCGAAATAAAAGTAGGTGAAGTGTGTTCGAACGTGTAACCTAACCAGTATAAATCGTTTATTTTAATCATTAAGTCTACTTTCTTACAAATGAATAATTTAATAAACAATTCATGCATTTAAAAAAGTTAATGAAGATAGAATCTATTATGTTCAGAAGAAT